ATTCTTGTGCTCCAGTCTAGTTCAAGAGACGGTTCCCTTTCCCCGAGGTAAATCGCATTCAAGTTATTGGGCGTCAACCCCGCCACGTTTCCCAAGGCATCTCGTTCGAATTCATGGTTCTCTCTCCGGGTTACGTCCATTCGGGGCTATTTCGACATCTACCGAGGCCTCCGCGGGACTGAGCAACAGCCTCCGCCTCGCATGCGCCGCCACTTCCCCAACCGCCCCTTCGCTCAAGGCGGGCCCGAAGGCGCTAGCAGGGACGCCCGCGACGGCGGGAACGGCCTCTTTATTTCCAGCCGCTGAGAGGCTTGCGCTCAAACGCGTCCTGAAATCGCTCCCATAAACACAAGCAGAGCCCCTCGCTGCGCCCCCAGCTTCGGGCCGACCCGAGACGAAACAAGCCAGCCGAAGTACAAAGGGAATTTATTCGCCCGGCAGCGGCTTCCCCTCGTGAGGCGGCGCGGGAAAGCCTTCCGAGACCTAAGCGCCCCCAAGAGCTCGCGGAGGCGGGAAGCGCCCCAACGGCGGGGCGACTGAGGCAAAGCCGCCTCTCTGCTCGTCCCCCAAACCTCGTCCTTCATTCTGTCACTGGAGAGGTGCACTTTGCTTTATTTCTGGCCACTTCCCCCCTGCCGGATAAAAACCAACATCTTCGCTAAAGTAATTCCTAGAAAATTCGCCCGCGCAGGAAAGGCACATTCCATTGCACGCTTTCTCTGAGGCGCGCCCCGCAGCCGCCCCTCCAGCAGAGCCACCGCTCGCTTCCCTCCCCACAATTATCAGCGAGGCGTCGCTGGAATTCACACACACACACACACACACACACACACACACACACAAAACGCTTCGAGAAAGGGGGGGCAATCTCCCCTTTCCACTCCGTTATAACAGCTGGGCTAGGCTCGGGGAAGGGCACGGAGGGGTGGCGTCCGTTCTGCCTGAAGCAGCCGCGCGCCTGAGCCCTCCTGCCTGCAAGGGGGCGGGAGGTGGGGGGAAAAGAGAGCGCAGCGTTGAGCTGCCTACGCTGGGCGCTTTCCCTGAAGGGAACCGCTACTTTTCGGCGGGAAATTTTCACCACCGCGAGGCTTGTCCTCTGAATTCCCGTCAGGCTTCTGCCTGAAGAGATTTTCTCCTTTCTCGATCATTCTAAAGAGTCTCCGGAGAGACCTTAGACCCACCCCCCCTCGCTACCCTTTCTTACAACTTGTGTAATTAACATTGCCTCCAAAAAAAATAAAAAACAAAACAAAACCGGGACTGCCCGAAAGACAAACCGCACGTGCGAGCCAGAAGCTCCGGCTGTGGGCTCGACCGGGGGAGGGGGGGCGCGGGGGAGGAAATCCCTGGGGAACGTTGCAAAGAGTATGATTTCTCCCCGAGACCGAATTAGTCCCCGGTCCTGCTGCCAGCCCTAAAGGTAGCCATAACTCCTAGCCCCGCACAGGTTCTGAGCTCAAGTTAAGCCGGGAAAGAGGCCTCGCCTTCGCGACAGTCCGTCAGGGCCGCCGAAAGAGCCACTCTGGAAAGAAGATGGAAGAGCGCTGACTCGGAGGGCCGCTCGAGCGTGGCAGGCCGCGCGCTCCTTCTCCCCCTTTCTCAAGAATAAGCCCCGCTCAACTCCCCAGGGCCCACGCCCGGGCAGGCTCCCGCCAGCTGCGCAACCTAAGGCACCCTTCCCTGGAAACCCAGCTCTTTCTCCCGACCTGGTTCTTGTGTGCAATGCATCAATCTAGGGCTAGGGATCCGATGGATTCCCCCTTTGGACAAGAATTGCTATAGTTATGATTATTATCAATCATTATTTATCTTGGATGAGCGCGCCATCTTTCCTTGATTCCAACGAGCAGGTGTCTCGTTTTAGCTGCCCCTTCACCCCCACCTTCCCCAACCGCTTGATGCTAGTAAGTTTAGGAGAAGGGGGGGGGACCCGTAAAACTAGCCACTACTTCAAAACAGACACAGCAAAATAATTGGGTATTAGAAATTCTCCCCTAAATTAAAAAATAATGGGGATCTTGGCTTGCTACCCCCCCCCCCACACCCGACAACATATTAATTATACTTTTTAAAAAAAGGATTCTCGCAAATGTGTTTGTATCTAAAACAGGGATCCTCCTATCAAGTTTCTTAGCTGTGTCCCACACCTGGCTATATATTTTGGTTTGAGATAAAGTGAGTTTGAAGTTTAATGAACAAGAGAGATATCCAAAGATACCGTTTCCTTGCTTATGCACTTAATGTTTTTTTTTAAATATATATTAAAAATCCTACTATGCTAATAGAATCTATAAATTCTTTAAAAAGGAATGAAGGTATTGTATTCAAGTATAATAAGATACACACTTCCACTTCCTAAACCTTATTTGGGAAGGTTCAAGACTCCATGGATTTCCATCAGCCCAAACCTAAATATACCTAGTCTGCAGAAAATTCCATTAAAATAAACCAATTTTCTTCCAGATGAAGTACAGAAGTATTACTTTCCTGTCTAAAGCTTAACAGCCCAATCCTAATTCTTCCTATTCTATAGAAATCGCACTGTATTCAAATTATATTAACATTAGTAAACAATTTAGGAATGTAACCACATGCTTCTCTGGAAAGAACTTTGTGAATTCAACAGGAATGTTTGGGTTGTACCATTAGCCTTTCATTGTAAATAAAGTAAGACTGCAGCCTTTTGCAGTTAGTAGACCCTCACATTCTTTAAATTCTATGGAACTTGCTTTGCACTAAACGTGCCACAGGTTTATGGCATCCACACACATGCATGTACACTGCCCACTAAAATCAATTTCATCTAATTTAGCCTATTTAAATTTCAGCAATGGACATGAATGCTCCCGTTCCAAATATCTTAACTTATTCCAGCCTGTTTCTACCCCATTTCTTTTTCTTTCTTTCTTTTGCTACATCTTGCCTACTCCAAATTCATTCAGAATCAGAGACTGATGCAGAGATTACTCAGAAAGCTAATTCCTCTAGAATGCATTGCACTAAATAGGATCTATTTAAATTTTTAGAGCCAGATAAGGCAAATATTCTGTATTTAATAAGTTCTCAGAGGTTTCAAAGGAAGGCTAAAATGGTAGAAACAACAAACACTATGTGTTATTGAAGTTAGAAAAAGAAACTAAACTATACATCTTAGCTTTGCCTCTTTTGCCTCTTAAAACAGCAAATTCCTTTTCTCAGATCAGATAAGCCACCATACATATAGCATTTCTTTAACCTGCTGTTTCAGTGCTATGAACCATCACCATCATCATCCGAGTAATTATCTATCATGGGAGGCTTCTGGGACTTTTTTTTTTCCTAAAGAGAAAAAAGACGGGATTCTGTTCGTTGACATGGATTTATTTGCTGTAAACATTAAAATTATCTTTCTCCAAGAAAGAGTTTAGGGAGAAAGTGTCAGCTTCTAACTGTCATATACACCACATGGAGAAATTGTGGGGTGGGTAGAGCGGGAGAGAGGAAAGGGAAGAGGCAGTGATTGTAAAATATGCCATACTGGAAATATACAAAGAAAAATAGATATACTACAGAATATGGCATTAAAAAACATTGTATTGATACGTAAAATAATATATTAACAATTTTAGGCATTTAAAAAAACAACTCCCTCCCTCAACAAAAGAAACTTGAAATAAAAAGACAAAGTGCTCAATAATTTCCAGGGAGATCTATATATGAGATAAACACTCTGGAAATAGTCCAAAAAAGCTTGTGCATGCAAGACTGGTTTCTCCTCAGACAACAAAATGATCAAGATATAAACTGTTTTCTTTTTAATCAGCATCAACAATACATACGACACTTACAAACAAGGAATGCCAAACGGGTGTTTACAAACACGGGAATATGGGTCCCTTTCGGAAGTTTTTTTTTTTTCCAGAAATGGATGTGGGTGGGGAGTCTGTTGGATTTGTGTAACACCTGTGCCCACCTATTTTACAACTGAGAAAAAATGTTTGAAGCTTCTTAGAGAACTACCAATCTTTATAAAATCTAGCAGACTACATAGTGTCTGAAATAACTATTTATAGAATATAGACATTACTGAAATAGCAAGTGCCTATAATAACATTGTCTTCCTAGAATCATCAGACTCTCTTTTGATTTCAGTCTTAAATAATAATCAAGTCTTTTTGCTCAAATTCCTTTGATTTAGCCTCTTTTTTCTAATTTTATAATGGTTTGAATAGCTTATTCATAAATAGGCACAGAATAGTTTTGCTTTGTTTTTAGAAAGAAAAAAAGCCAAACTGCATCTGATAAGTGTACAATCCTTTGCCTTCTGTCGATTCATGCCGCACCCTCTCCCTCCCCAACCCTTAATTTCATCTTCTATATATTACAGCTTTCCCTTTACAGCAGAAAACACTTTAAAGGTCTTAGAAAGGGGGGGGAGATTGAGTGGGTCATCTTAATACTCTTGCCATCAGCAGCAGCAGCTAAAGCCTGAGCAAGACTCAGCTTCCTAACTTATAGTCCTTGGTCACACAGCCATCCTCACAATCACAGTAATGAACTTTTTTTTTTTTTTTTTAATCTGTGTGTCATTTTGCTTTGGGGGGGAAAGGGTGTGGATGGGAGCGAAAGAGACTTTTGTTTTTTGTTTGTTTGTTTGTTTGTTTAGGCAAGAATAAAAAGCTTGTACCATGGGAATCTGTGTGTAGTCCAAGGAACGGAATTCAGCATGGCCGCAGCCCCCCCCAGTTTTCAGTCACTGTTCTGCAGGACAGGCTAAGCCACAGTTTGGAAGGATGGGAGCATGCGACAGCCGGAGGTGCTCCTTCCTTATCGGGACGGGGGGGGGGGGCTCTCGCTTTTCTCCTGGGACTTCGACCTCCTTGCTTGCTTGCATTTCCCCCCCACTTCGAGGCTTTGAAAGTTCTTCACTCTGAGAGCACAGCAGCATTGTCTTTCTTTTTAGATTCCACCACCCCCTCCTTTACACTTTCTCTCTCTCTCCCTCTCTCTGTTTTTTGTTTTTAAAAAGGTAAAGTGTCCAAGAAAAGTTTGTCAATTATTGCTGGCGGCGGCACCAAATCTTCCAATTTTAGGTAGAAAATACGCTGCAGGCCTTGCGTGCAGAGCGTGCGAAGTTCCGGAAGCTTGCCCAGGAGTTTGGACAAGTAATTTGGCCGGTTCAGGCCGCCGTTGTTGAAAGTCACGTGGTCCTTGAGGCAATTGACAATCTTGTTCTGCAGTTCTTCCACCCGTTTGGGCTCCTTCAGGCCGTGCCTCTCTGCAAAGGACAAGAAGGATTTAGACCCAGCTCTGGACAAATGGAAGGGGGGTGGTGGCTGAGGGAGGGGCACTTCAACAGGCCTTGTTAGGAGACTGCAAATTATGCGTTGCTGCTTTAACTTACTCCTTACTCCTTAAAGTGCCAATGCTAAACAACATAGTTTGGGATAAACTGAAGTGTCTGAACCCAGGGGACTTTCTTCGATGTAGCTACAAGTTAGACAGCATTGTGAAATTGCAGTTGTGTCACATTGCGACTCCTCCATTTGAGTCAGTACTCTTGAACTTCCAGGGTGCCCCAGAAATATATCTGCATTATAGTCATTCAAATGTAAAGTTTCTCTCTTAAAGCCCCTGTTCATAGAGCACCTCCATGCTTTGATCAATTAACTCAATACTCTGGATTGGCAGGCATGCTGAACCTTCAGTTAATCACAGGGGTTGGATGTGCACCATGTTAACATAAAATATGATTGGCTACTTTGTGATTCAGTGTGTCATGTGAACATAAACATGTCTTCATGCATATATCCTGATTTGTGGATTCTATTCCCTATTGCCAATGGTGATTGTATAAAAGGGCAATTGCTCTGGATTACTTCATATTCATCTGGGACATAATGATAAACTCTAGTTTACTTTAAATAGGAGCCCAGGAAGGTTAAAGGAATAGGTTTACGTAATCCAGAATAAAAGCCAGAAGTGAGAAATCCCAATAGGCAATATAGAACTTGTAAAATGAAATAAGGGGAAGGAGTGTGACTATTGTGGATTTTAACTCTATATGGGAAGAATGTGGATATTTTCTAACTAAGAATTCTCATCTGCCCAGACAGTTGAAACAGGGCGTGAGGCAGAGATTTTCAGCTTGCCAGAAAAACAAAAGTTCATTCCAAATGAGTTAATCTGAAATAAAACACCCCTGGGTGATCAGAACAAAGAGGAAGAGGAAGAGACAGAAGCTGGGTCTCACCTGTCACCATGGCTAGGGCAGCGATGCAGGAGAAGGCAGAGATATCAATGTTCATATTCTGCAGGCTGGATGAAAACTCCACAATGGAGTCGATCCATTCCCCGAATCCACGGACACATTGCAACCGATGCAGGACCACACCATTACAAAAGATGAGCTTCCCTTCCACGGGGTTTGACCTGCCGAGGGGGGGGGGGTTTACAGGGTGGCCAAAAAAGGGGAGGGGGGAAATAGAGAAAGGCAAACAACTAATTATTCGCCAAGCAATAAATGGAAGGCTTAAGAGGGACCTAATTACTGAGGAGTTAATAAAAACGCAGCTCAGCGGACCTTGAACGGCGGGGCGCAGTTTTCCTCATCATAGGGAACACAAGGGATGGGTCTGGGTGTGCATGTATGTGCACATGTATTCCACACGCCTGCCCATCCCAGTATACGCTTGCAGACGACCTTCAGCTTGGAGAGAGCACTTCCTACTTACCGGTAGGCTAACCGCAGGACGAAAAGTTCCAGGAAGGCAGACTCAAACAGCAGGTCTTGGTCTTGTTTGGGAAGGTCAGTGAAGCCAGGGATCTTTTCTGCCCAGCCCCGGATAATATCCATGGAACCAGTTAAGAGATCATAAAACTGCTGGATGTGCTGCGTGTCATCACCGCTCATCTGATAATCTGGGTTTGCTTGGAACTGGGATTCCATGGCCGAGGAAGGTGGGAGAGAGAGAGAGAAGGAAGGGGAAGGGAAGTAAGAGAAAGACCCCAGCAATTTAATGAGGCTTTCTGAAATCTATAGCCCGTGAAATTGCTAACCCCATCTCGAGGAGGGGAGCCAAGTTTTTATAACAATTAAACCTGGCTCTGGCCAGTGAAGAAATTAGACGTCCCATGGCAATTAATTCAATTAGGGGTGGTGTTAGGAGGGATGGCCACTTGCGAAGTGGGGAAATAGCTGTGGCCAGGAGGAAAGGGCAACTTTAAACACTCTGGAAAGACAACCTGAAGCAAAAAATTACAGGGGTTGGCTTAGCTTCTGGAAAGCCAGTTTGGGGGAGGGAAGAGAAATGAGCGGCTGTAATAATGAAGTGATAAGGGGGGAGGGAAAATCTACCCATTGATCTATGCACACAATACAAACATGTAAAATGCATTCAGCACAAAGGCCTGTGGCTCTCTTATCAAGTTTCATTTCTTGTGTATTCAAAAATGTATATTCACATGTGGTTCTACCGTGAGAAGGGAGCAACTAATCCCACCTTGAAAAAGAGGCTTGGCTTTCTCTCTTCAATTAATTCATACCGTGGGTCCCATAAGGCAGAAGAGGAAAAACAGACCCACTTCCTGCAGTAAGGAGCCCAAGGTTAGTTTCCAAAAGGCAGGTGCTCCAGGGCATCTCCTTTGGGAATGCCCTGCCCCTGAGTTTAATGTTTCTTAATGGCTTTCATTTCCCAAGCACGTCTGAATGGGAACACCTCCTTTTCAAACTAAAGCATTGCTTCCATTACTGGCAGGGGGAAATGGGGGGAGATCAACTTCTAATATGGAACAAAACAACTCCACATACATTTAACTAGCAGTAAACACTATTTGCAAAAGTAGCCCACAGTCCCAAGAAGTGTATAAAGAGAGATGCAATCTGCATCTGCTTGAAGTTCCCCACCCCCTTTCAGCAGGCACAACATGCATACACATAGACACCAATTCTTGCCCAGATACCTCCAAGCCCTCTGGGGACACCTCGGAGGTGTCTGCGCAATCGCATCAAGTGGGGTGTGTGTGTGTGTGTGGAAGAGAGAATGACCTGACTGGGGGCTAGTAGGCAGGTTTCATTTGGTGGCCTGGGAGGGGGACCCATAGGCAAATATTGTCTCCAGCTTACCCTGGAATAGTCCAGGCTGGTCATAGCCGGGTTGGAGTCGACATGAGCTCTCACCAGGGCACTGATCAGACTCACCGGGGGCGAAGGGGGAGAAGGCTCCTGGGGGCTCTTCGGTTTGGAAGGCAAACGACCCCTTCGGCCTTTTAAGCTGTCTGTGCGAACGACTGAAAAAAGACAAGATGCCTCCACTCAGAGGACGCGCCTCAGGTCCCCCCGGCCAGGCAGAGAAGAAGAAAACACGATCCCCACCCCCCACCCCCTACACTAGCCCCATCTAATGTCCTGTTTTTCTACCGGGCCCAAAACCTCACGGCTGAATGTATCTGCCCAGAGGGAAAAAAGTTCCCAAGGAGAAATTGGGGCTGTTGGTATTGCAGTGTTTTTTCCAGACTTCCTTGCTCCAACGCTCGGTTTCCAGGAGGTTTGGCTCCGAACAGCGAGACTGACTTTTTTTTAAAAGAAAAACATGTAGGGGAGCAAACCCTCCCGGCATCCCTTCACATAAGCCCAACCTGCCCTATTCCTGGAATTCCTTTAAATTAAAACTAAGACACCCTTCCCCCCCCCCCGGCAAACGCCTTGTCCCAGGAAAGGTTGTCTTAGGTCTAGCCCGGATTTGCACAGGCCTTCGCCTCCTGCCACTACCCCGGCCGGTTTATGAGTGTCAAATCGCTCTGAAGACGGGCCCGATGGGGGCTGGGGGGCTGGGGGGGAGCCCAGGGCCGCCCCAGGGTCAGAAGAAGCCCCGTGCGGGGGAGCTCAGCTGGAACTCCGCCGCGCCTCCTCTCGCCTCGAACTGGGGACGCCGCTGCTCCGCCTGTGCGCTCGCGGCCGCCCCTGGCTCCCGCCCACGGCAGGCTCTACCTTCTTTGACCATGCCGACGACGAGGCACTTCTGAAAGCGACAGTACTGGCACCGGTTCCGACGGCGTTTGTCCACGGGGCAGTTCTTATTCGCTAAGCAAACGTATTTGGCGTTTTTCTGGACGGTGCGCTGCAGAGACAGGGGAGGGAAAGGGGGGGGAAGGAAAGGTGAGGAGAGGAGGGGAGCGGAGCCCCTTTCCCCCCCCCAAGGTGGTCCGAGTTTAAGGCGCTTCGCGGGCTGAGAAAGATCCCCTTCTTCTTCTTCCTCTCTCGCTCCAGCGGTCTCCCCTTTTCCAGGTCCTCTAACAAAAAAATTGGCCGAGCCTGCCAGAACGACCGAACGGAGCCGTTCGGTCGACACAAATCCGAGGCATTTCTATAAGTTTTTTTTTTATTATTATTCCTTTTCTTTGGAAGGACGAGGTTATTCAATTAGGAAGTTACGGGGCAGGGCGGGGAGGGAGAGACACGGTTTCATTCGACCGTCGGGATTGCGGGTCTACTGCTACTTGGTTAGCCGAGGCGGGGTTCTCTCTAAGGCAAATGAATTGCAAAAGGGCCCCCCCTCGCGCAGCTCAGCTCCTACACAGACAGGACAAGCCCCCCCCCCCTTCCCAGGTGGGACTGGAACTGATGGAAAGGTGGGGAGATCAGGAAAGGGCAACAGGCGTTGAACGCTCCAACTACTCGCTCTCTATTAAAGATCGTTTTTGTAGATTACAGTTTAGGGAATAGGCCTAGTATAAATCAGCGCCTTTTAAAAAGCCTCCTGGATCGTGGATCGGGAAAGAAAGAAAGGAAAAGGAAGAGAATCTGGACGTTGTGGCACTTTCTTTCCCGAGCTTCAAAGCTCAGGTGAAATAAAAGCAATTCCTAATTCCTTCAAACGTTCTTTCTAACCCCCCTTCCCCCCCCCCAGCCCCCGGCTCGGAAAAGGATGCAGAGGAATTCATCCGCTAAAGCAGCCAGTTCCTCTCCTGCTTCACTATCTCCATCAATGTCTCGGGCAGGGAGAACGTGGTAAAATGAAGGGCTGCGTCGTTGAGGGACAAGAAATGTTATTCTTAATGAAGCAAGAATGGCTAGGCCTCGAATCTGCATCAGGACAATAAAACTGACTTTTTTTTTCCTTCGGTGAGCTGCACATTCCCATCTAGTGTGGATAGATTTGGCTCAAGTACCTCTGTACGAGGCGTCTGAACTATTTGAGGGATTAGATGGCAACAGCCTAAAAGACGGGTAGGGAATAGAGGGGAAAATATATGCCATTTAATAATGTGAGAACCCCACTGGCTTCTCTCATCTTGAGGTGTTTTTTTTCCCTTTCCCTGTGAACTAAAAACCCGGTAAGTGTGGATTTTGATCTAAGGCGCCTTTATCATTCTGAACTCAGCTACATCTGGAGACAGGGAGGGGGCTAAGACTAGATCCCCAAATATAACCTCGAAATCTGGGCGTCCGCTTCTTTTCTACATGGCCAATCTCAAGGCTGACAGCCGCTGCAGTCTAAAGTGAGTTAGTTTCTACTCAGCAGAGGCCGGAACTTGAAGGTGGTCCTTAAACGAGGGGTAAAGGGATACAGTTAAGGACACGGAAGGAGGGATGGGAGATCGGCTGCACAGCGAAGCAGTTGGCATCTGGGAGACAGGCAGACACGACTCACCCCCCCCCCGCCTCCCCAGGAGGCAGCATGAGCAGCAGCTCACCTTAAAGAAGCCTTTGCAGCCCTCGCAGGTGCGCACGCCGTAGTGCTGGCAGGCGGCGTTGTCTCCGCAGACGGCGCACAGCCCCTCGTTGGAGGGCGAGCCCCGCGAAGGTGGCGAAGGCACCTGGGCGTCCAGGAGCTGGGAGGCGTGCCCGATCTGCAGTCCGGGGAAGCCGACGGCGGCGGCACTGGCCTGCTTGCGGATCGGGTTGGGCAGAGCGAAGGGCTGCCCGTCGTGGTGGTGATGGTGGTGGTGGTGGTGGTGGTGGGCGCCAGGCCCGTGGCCCGAGGGCTCCGCATTGAGCGGTAGGGCATGCAGGGGCCCGTCAAAGCGCATCTGGCAGCTGCCCACCGGCATGCCGGGCGGCGATTGCTTGAAGGAGAAAAGCGAGAGACGCGGCACCGCCGTCGGGGCTGCCTTATGCACGCCGCCGCCGCCGCCGCCAGCCGCTCCTCCTGCCGCCCCACCGTAAGCCTGGTGGTGGTGATGGTGGTGATGATGGAAGCCGTGCAGCGGCCCGGCCTCGTCCCAAACACTCTGACCCGGCGCGAAACCAGCGGCCGGGGTGGGCGGCGAGGCGCAGGGTTTGTAGTAGACGGCCAGCTCATCGGGCGCCTGGGGCCCGCCGGCCACGGGGGGCTGCGGCGGCGGCGGGTAGCCGTGGCCGTGCAGGGGCAGCTCCTCGACCTTGATGGAGGGCGCCGGTGGCGGGGGCGGCGGGGGCTGCGACGGCATTTGGTACAGGCAGGGCGGCTTGACGTCGTAACCCGCAGCGGCGGCGGCGGCGGCGCCGTAGTTGTCCATAAAGGTACTGAAGCTGGGGAGAGAAGTGGTTGCAGTGATTTCAGTGTTGGTCAGGTCCATGCTAAACTTGACAAACTCGGGCGTTAAGAAGTCCGAGCTGTACTCCCCGGCAGCCGCCGAGTGGTGGTAGGAGTAGCTCTGCGTGGCCGGGCTGGCTCCTTGCGGCGAGGACCCGTACTGAGCCTGGACGCAGGGCATGGCTGCAAACGAAACACGGCACAACAAGAGCATGGCTCAGCTTTCCTGGGCAACAATCCCATTCCTCGGCCCCCGCCCATCCACCCGCCCACCCACCCATCCATCCACCCTTCCTTCCCACAAAGAGGCCAAGCCAGGAGGAGAGGAAGATGCCAGGGAATGGGACGGGCAGGCGAGAGAGAGAGGAGAGGGTAGGACAAGCGGGGGGGGGGGGGTGGAGGAAGGGAGGCAAAACGCGAACCGAAGGGAGGTGGGGAAATGGGCAAGCAGGGAGCGCAAGAAGGGCTCGCTATAGAGAGAGTGGAGAGAGAGAGAGCAGTAAGGACTTTGCTAAACGTCGGTGGGGGAGGAGACGGGAGGGGGATGCCCTCTAAGTAGAAAGTAATGCCCCCGCTGCTAAGTACAAGGGAGGCTGGATGGGGTGCAGAGTTGCCCGCGCTAGAGCTACCGAGAATGGAGCCCAGCACGCCCTCTCCTCTCCTCTCCTCTCCTCTCCTCTCCTCTCCTCTCCACCCGCGCGCACAGGTACGCGGTCCCCTTTTCTCTCCCGAATTCCGCGAGCCCAACTCCTGCTAAAGGCAGAGGCCGCTTTCTCCGGGTCTGTGAGAATGTGACTTCCTGGTTGGCGGGGCGGGAGGGGTATGTGTGTGTGTGGGGGGGTTGAGGAAAGGGTCAATCCGCGCCACCCACCTTCAGCCGCGTGAGTGGCGTTTTCGGGAGAATTGAAGGCAGACAGCGTCGGAAGTCAACGGAGAGACAAGTTGCCAAGACTTGAACGAGGCGCTGGTGACTCCAGTCCGTCCGGTTGCTCCCTGAAAAAGACGGGGCAAGGTGCGGGGAGGGAGACGGCGTTATTCTTTCAGCCTCACCTGGACCGTGGAGACGGGGGGAGGGGGGGGAGAGAAAGCAACGAGGACTAGCGGGCGCCACAAAATTCCTCGCGTCACCAGCTGGGCTCCTGTCAGGCCCAGAGGTGGCTAGGAGAGCTGGGTAGACGGTCCCCCCCATAAGCCGCTGTAGGCAAAGAGCTCCTCTTCCGCTGGGTGGAAAAGAAAAACCCTTCGCCCGGAGGGCTTTGCTGGTTCTCCTTGCGCTATTCGATTCCCTCATTGTGCAACCGAAGGATTCAGACAGTCAAGTTATTTTCTCCCCCCCCCC